TTTATAAAAAGTCAGTCTTGAAGTTAATTTTAGCCTAAATGGATCAGTATTTTCAACATACAAAAGACAAAAACCTGCTCTTTTCAGGAAAACAGGTTCTATTTTAGATACATAAGCAAAATCCCTCCTCAAAACAAAACAAAAAAAAAAGCCACAGTATCACTTAATGATGAAATTACAGTTTGCTCTTCGATCAGGATACTGAAAAAAACCCACAACAAGATATTAAAAAAAAAAAAAAAGCAGCAAACATTACTGATTCCCTATTTCAGGTAAAGGAGAAATAACACAGTGAGCTGAGCAGCTAGTTCACGCTCACACTTTCCGTTTAAATCTGTGCCTTGAAAACCAGGGTTTTTTTTAATTTCTCTTTGAGTAATTTATTGACAGAAATTCCAACTACCCATGAAGGTTGTTTCTAAAATATCTTCAACATTTTAACTTCTTTAGGTAATGGGACATAAATTCACATCCATTTGCTGTAACTGAGCATCTTCAACACCTGTACAAGAACCAGAAGACCAAGGTGTTAGCATCATTCCTTCCCCACTTTTTTCAAGTAGGTGTGTTTCAGAAACTCATTTGGGCCTAATAAAATCCTTGTCGGCTTCTCTTCTCTGGAGAAGTAAATACCCTCAGCTTTCTTAGCATCCACAGCACAGAACCAAGACACCCTGCCCAGCAGCCTCCCCAGGGATTTTCATACCACTTCAGCAGGTGCAGTGACAGCAGAGGGCATATCCCCTTACTCTATTCCAGGAAGACTTTCAGGACACACAGTCCTCTGTTCCCCGTGGACGGCAGAGGGCATGCAGGGTCAGGAGGCGGCATGGCTGAAGAACCCTTACGTCAGACCGCCCTGTCCCCTGCAGAGACCTCTGGGGAGGGTTGTGCAACCACGGGGGGGGATCCAGGGAAAAACAGCAGGGTATGCCTGAGGCCAAAGAGAAGACACACAACCCCACCCATGGTATGTCTCCAAGCTCAGTGAAGAGGGCTTGCTGCAGGCATAGGGTCTCTGGGGACTACCTTGATCCCATCTCAAACTTTTCTAGCCTGTCTGGGCCATTTATAAATGCTCTAGTCTCCTTTTTAACAAGCACAGATTCAATCCTGCTCTCAGTCGAGTCAACGGAAAATTTCCCATTAACATTAACGGTCCCGGCTCAAGCCATAAATTCCTCTAGCTCCCTAGCCACTTGTGTTGACCTTTGCTTAAACTTCCTTGGATTTGTCATCATCTTTCTGGAAAGCAAGTCATTCCGTGCTATTTTTCTCTTCACGGTGATTTCCAAAAATCCCATCTCTCCGTATTAACTGTGACTTTCATCAATACACTCTCACCTCAACATCACTGATTATGAACACCACCACTCCTACAAGGATACTCACAGTATCTCTCCCACTCAACCCAATGCAAGGCCATTGCTCACAATACTTAGTTCATGTCCCTTTGCCAGTCCACATAAGGACACGATCAGAAACAATGCAGCTGTGGATCTGAAAAACTACCCAGACTGCCACATTCAACAAAATAGAAATAGCATCTTACTGGCACACTTTCTCTCTTGAACTCTTATCTGCGAGGTCTACCTAGGATATCTGGCAAGATCTACTCTTTGTTATGTTGCTCATGCTTATATGCATAATAAGACATAAGTGTTATGGCAGTATGCAAATACCTCACACTACTTACTATGTTTCTACTCCCTGCTTGGAAGCAGAATAACGTCATTCCCATTTTATCCATGGGAAGTCAGTAATGATGGCCGTATCTCTCCAGTAAGCTCTGCCTTTGGGCAGGCTACAATGCACCACACGGCTGCAGCCACGAGGGCCAGGGCTTGCACCCAAGCCTGTTCCAACCTGTGCTGGCTCCTCCCTACCTGGAAAGCAGCCATAGACGAATCTTAATTCCCTGGCAAAGTCACGCAAGAAGGCTGCAAGGGTCTCCTCACATCCAAGGCAGGATCCTAAACAGCTTTGCTCTTGCCTCACAGGCCAAGTTTCACACTTGGAGCTTAAAAATAAGCCTCCAACCTTGCAGCAGACGTCTGTGAAGCCACGTGAACTCGGCCCTGTTCCTTTCAGGTCTCGGCAGACCTGCGGGCTATGGCAAGAGAGGGAGACACCTGCTTCTTCTACGCCTTCAGTGTCTCTTTCCCCCTTTAACACTTCAGATGACTCAATCTCAAGAAGTTCCCCTGTTCTTTCAAATTTGAGAGGGATTTTTCCACCTCCACAGAGGAGCAAAATTTCAGCTGCAATGAAATACGCGTAACTGTGACACAGACCGAGTAAGCCACACCACAGAGAGCAAGTTACTACTCTTCTTACCTCTCCACAGAGGACTTAGCCCCGCCTTACTCTTGGTAAGGGCAGTTTCTGGATTGAAGCTACTGGCTTGGCTCAAAGCTCTTGAGAAGTGTTCATCCACTACTGAACCAATGTCTCCCTGGAAGTAAGTGAAAAGGACGCAGCGAGAGTTAAGGTACTCCATCTCAGCAGGCTGGTCTTTCTCATCCTCCTCTTGCTTGCTGGGAGGGGTCACTTCCAGAGACTCCTGCATCTTGTTGTATACAGCTAACTTCTTCTGGGATTAAAAACAAAACAAACAAGAAATGTATCACTGATGGCATTCAGCGCAAGCTCAACATCTGGTTTTCTTAAAGAAAAATAACTGAATACACTGAATATTCATTTCATAAATACAGTTGGAATACAGGGATATTTCGCACCGACATTTCACAAAGAAGAGATTACCAGCGCCACTTAGAGTTTTTATTCCTCACACACAGATGGACCTGCTTCTCAGGCATGTTTCACAACCACAATTTATCGGTAACAGCTTTCACTCAATACCTTCAAAAGAAAACAGAGAGGCTCTAACAATGCACTCCTGACTTCCACCTGGAAAGGATATTCCCATCAGTAAAGGCTACAGAGGTTGAGTCCAGCCCTGCGGAAAGGTGGCCAGATATGCAACGCCTGCATTTCACCCATCTAGCTGAACATGCACCGAGTTTCACCGGCCACACTCCCCCAGTTGAGAGCACATGGCCTTCTGGACTCCCCACATCTACTCATTGCTGAAGGCGTAAAGATTGGAGAATTTGGTGCTTTGTGAAAAATTTTCCACTGTATTATCAAACTCAACAAAATACATACATTCTCACTCACTGCCAAGAAAATTTTTTTATCATAGGAAGCTAAGGAAGCTATACCTTAGGGTGGTGATTGCAGGTGGGAGGGGGGTGGGTTTGATGGTTGGTTTGTTTGAGGTGTTTTTTGGTTATTGTTTTGGGGTGGGGGGGG